GTGAGAGGCTGCTAGCCAAACCAGGAAGACCTAGAACCATCTGGAAGCTCTTATTTCTTGAGCCCATCCTGCAGGTGACGCACTGATAAACACTCTCTACACACTATCTCATTTGGTCCTCAGAACAAGCATTAGGCATTAGTCCCATTTTACAGATTGGAGCTCAGAGAGGAAAAATACCCCACCTTGGGGTCACTTGAGTGGCGAGGAGCAGAGCCAGGACTCAACCCCAGGTCTGTCTGCCTGTAGACCTCGATTTAATATGTCTGTTTGAAGCCAGGTAGAGCCATCATGGTAGTTTAATTTAACGCTAGTATAGACTTTAAAGATGGGGACCTCAGGGAAGGGACAGAGGGGGACACCAGATCATGAAGGGCTCTGCCTGTGTTTTACAACGTGTAGTCTGGGTCACAGCAATAGGGAGCCAACGAGGAGTTGGGGTGAGTGACATGATTGGATTTGCACTTTAGGAAGATCACTATGGCAACTGTGGGGAGAAAGGACCAGGGGGAGTTGGTCTGAACAGAAGTGGCTCAGACCCCGCCTGCTGGTGGCTGAAACCAGGATAGCAGGGTGGGGGGAGGGAATCAGAGAGAAGCGAACAGTTGCCAAGGCCACGTGATAGACTGAGTGCAGAGGCCGTCTGAGTGGGGTAAGCAAAGAGAGCTGATAGGAACCCCAGGTTTCTGATTTGGGCAATGGGAGAAAGGGGGGTCTTTCTCCCAACCAGGGGCGGGTGAGGTAGACGTAGTCCCGGGAAGCGAGGCTGGCGAGTCTACAGTTCTGGAGACAGGCCTGGGAGCCAGCTCAGCTGCCTGGAGCTCAGGGGCAAGGAGTTGGCTGAGAAAACTTGGACCAGGACCTTGACCTGATCCAAGCTCAATCACATGACCAGCCGGCTCACGTGATTGAGCTGGTCACCTCTGAGCCACCGGAGCTCCATACAGATGGGGGCCATCTGAGGAAATGTCCCTTTTACAGACGGCAGGCTGGGAAATTCAGAGGTGCACCCCCCCCAACTGTCACCAACATCCAGGCCTTGTTCCATTCCGCCTTTGCCTGTTATCAGCAGGGACTAGAGATGGGACCACCAGCATGGTGCCAGAATAGTGGCTCCAAAAGGCAAAGGAAGGTCCACCCCCTTCAATCATTCCTTAATATCCTCTTCTGGGGGCACGGAGGGCCAAGACTTGCAGTACAGGATCCAAGGCCTAGACCTCCACAGAGGAGTTCCTTGGAGACAGCAGGAGTTAATCTCAGGCTTCCTGCAAGAAGCCCTCAGGTAAGCATGGGGCTAGGGTGCTCTTTCTACTTCCAGGAGAAATCCTCAGACGTCAGACAGGATGCAGGCTGGCAGGGCACAATCAGGACAGCAGCAATGGTCACAGACCAGGGGACTCTCCCACACTGACCAGGCTTCCCGCTTTCCCAAGTGCCTTCACATGAATTCTTCTCCTCAATGAGAACAGATGAGATTTTAATACATACTAACAATGAATGTTAGTGTCTTTCCTTCTTCCCTTCCTTCCTTCCACTCTCTCTTTAAATCCTGTGTAGCAAGGGGAACCAGGGGACAAATACTATCCTTTCCGTCTTACGAGTAGACTCAGGCACAGAGAGGTCGAGCGAGTGACTTTGGGTCACACAGCTCTGAATGCTAAGACAAAAGCCCCGGGGTGAGGGATGCTCAGCCCCGGGCCCCACGGACGTGACAAGCATCAGTAGAGCTGTTTCAGGTAAGGATACAGAATGGAGACTTCCAGGTCCCGAGTCTTGACTCCACCACCACTCAGCTTCTAAAACGAAACTCCCATCAGTTTGGGCCACCTCCACAGCATGCTCTCCAGGTCTGGAAGGGCCCCTGGCCCAAAGCCATGATCCTCAGACCAGGAAGCGAGCCCAGAGGACTGGCACCCACTACCGGTCGAAGTGGGCAGCCGAATGGAACAGTGATTTGTAGAGTCAGACATCTTGAGTTCCATCCCAGCTTCACCAATTACCGGCTAAATTACCCTGGACAGCGACTTGTCCTTTCTGAGTATCTTCATCTATAAAATAGAGATCATGGCATCTTTCCCCCTGATGTAGTGCCAGGGGTTCAATCAAATGACCTATGGACAGCTGTCAGCCCAGAACTTGGACCCACATTCCATGCCTCCCTGACCTGCTTCCTGTGGACCAGGGTGCCATCAGGTTGGTGGGGGACCAAGCATCAGCAGAGATGACAGTCGTGCAAGGAAGGAGAGCCACTGCTCTGGGAGGGACACCCTAGAACGGAGCTCATGGAGTCCTCTATGCTCATGAATTGTGGTGGGAAAAACCGGAGGACCCCCTCTTCCTGTACCTGCAGCACTTCGGTGTGTGTGTTGGGGGTTGTGGGGGGAGGGCATGGACACACCCTGTCATAAACTCTTCCTTCCAGTGACTGTAGTCACAGAGCGCAGGAAGTGACAACTTCAGTCACTCTGAGGAAGACAAGGCAGGGTCCCCAAGCAGGAAGCCTGACTGAAGGGCAAAGGAGTGGTCTTTATGGGTTTGATCCGCCCCCAGGGAGGGATCAAGGGGGCAGTCCAGCTGTTCTTTTGTGGCCAAAAATAAGAAATGGTGACCTCTTTAGGGCTGGAGGGAGCTAGCAGTGCTGAAACAGCTAGGTTAAGCTAGCTGGCTGTCCACTAACACTCATTTACTTCTGACCGCCCTGTGAGTAGTTCCGCTGTCCCACACACCAAACTAGAAACTGAGGCTCAGAGGGTTCAAATAACTTGGCCAAGTTTACACAGCTAGCAAGTGTCAGAGGTGGGAATTGGGTCCATGCTCTTTTTCTCACACACACCATGGAACCAGGAGAGAGCTCTCAGGGCGAGACCCACACCCTGGGCCCTTGAGGAGCGGGTGTTAGGTTTCCTTTTCTTTCTTTCCTTTTCTCCTTAATTTCTCTCCAGTCATTGCTCACAGTTAGATCAGGCCTTAAAGCAGGGGAAGTAGGATGACACAGCCCTGAGGCCCATCAGACAGGACAGGGGTCAGGGGAAGATTCCCAAAGTTGGAAATGAAACTGAGGGTCTGCTCTCTGAACCCCATCAGTATGGCGTGGGGGCGAAGGGTGTCTGTCCTGGAGTCATAGACACCTGATTCATGTCTCAGAGTCACGGCTTTAGTGACCTTAGGCAGGTCGCTTCCCCTGTCTCTGCCTCAGTTTTCTTTCCCCCGAAATGGTACTGATGTAGAAACTAGCTCACAGAGCTGTCAGGATCGAGTCTCCCACCAGGCTGGAGGTTCTTAGCACATAGTAGGCACATGTTACCAATTAGTTATTCATTCTCCCCCAAGAGCTTTTCTCTGTCCATGGCTTTCATTTTAACAAAGGAGGGCAGGGAACGCGTAGAGGTGTTATCAAATGGATGTCCGTTGTGCTCCTGTTGACATGAGGACCCGATGTGGCCAGAAGGAGAAACAGCCTTGCAGCACTGGGCAAGGGAGGCTTCCAGAAGGCGTGTGGAGCAGAGACTGGGGGACAGTTTGCCGAAGGCAGTAGGAAAGGCTGTGAGGGCCATGTCAGGGCAAGTGAGGAGTCGGGTACACTGGGAGGCAGAGAGAAAGGGCCAGCCAAACCTGCTGATCGGGCTCCTAGAGAAGCAGCCAGAAGCTAAGCTCGAGGCTGGGAGTCACACAGACTTTCACAGGGAAGCAGAGCAGAGAAACCATCATTTGTGGAGTGCCTGCCAGGGACTAAACTCTTCCCATGAGCAACTTAAATCCTCACAACAGCCCGTGAAGTAGCCTCATTTTGCAGACAAGGACACTGAGGTCCAGAGACTTGAATTAATTCACCTAGAACTCCAAAACACCCAGACCGTGCTCAGGCTAGGACACTGACAGGCTAGCTTCTAGAAGCCCTAGACTAAACAAGTTCTGCTCTATAGTCACCTGTCATCCCCAGAGCTCACTACGGTCACTGTCCTCCTGGACTGTCCCTGCACTCTGACTAGGTCCCCAGTTTTAAACCATACCCAGCAGACTAGCCTGATGAAATGCAGAAATCCACAGAGCTGGACCCTGTAGGCTCTCAGAACTTCCTTCAGAAGCTACAGGCCTCGAGAGGAAGGGTCTCAGCAAGGAGACCCAGCAGGAGTCTCCCTGGGACTGGAGCCCCTGGGCATCTAGGCTCTGTGTCTGGGGCACTCTGGGCTCAAGGAATCACTGTTGGGAACTGAGATTTGGACAGAGATCTGGAGATCAGAACTCCCAGGAGCAGGGGGCTGTCACGGGGCTCCCAAGAGCACCCTGGACCCTCTTAGATCCACCGTCTGGGCAGAGGGCGGATCGGGCTTCCCACGTACTTTCTTCCAAAAGCAAAAGACATCCGCCTCTGCCCACCCCGTGGTGCCAGGGCAGCAGAAGCTACACTCCTAATTTCTGAGCTCGGTGGACCAGTGGGCTCTGTTGAGGTCTGTGAGGGGACCGGCTCTTCCCCAGGGCAGCTGCAGGGCCTGGAGTCCTCCCTGCTGGACCCTGGAGGGGGGTGGGGAGCCCAGAGGGCCGACTCTGCAGTTCTGCCCCTTCCTGTGGCTCCTTGGCAGGAAACCAGCCTCGAGTTTCAGCCACACTGCGGGGGCCGTACCTGCTGCATTCCCTTGCGAAGCCGGGGCTTCGGCTGGGTAAGAGAGAGCTGGGGAGGCAGAGCTGGAGGAAAGGGCGAGCCGGTGCGAGAGGGGGTCTGCAGATTGTGTCTGGCAGCATCGTAATAATAGCAACACATCTCGCGCGGGGGCCGAAGCCCTCCTCGGGCTTGGGATAGCGCCTATCGATTGTTTCCTCCTCGCCTACTTCATTATGTTGGCAGGAGCCTCTCACGACCGCCCCTCAACTTCTGTCCCCGGTTCCCCGGCCCCGGCGGCACCCAGCTGAGCTCTCCACGAGGTTCTGGTTAGTAAGCTGGGCTCTGCCAAAGCATGGGTGTTCTCTTCATAGGGTGGGGGCCCAGGTCCTGGGGGCCCAACTCAGCGGCCACCTGCTCGGCTCTGGTCCCCGCCGGCCCCTTTAATTCGAGTTCGCAGCCGGGCCAGGTGCGGCGCTGCGTGGCGCGGTGCGGCGCGGTGCGGCTGCGGGCGGCGGCCGGGCGCTCCGTACGCGCCGCCCGCGGGACTGCAGAGCCGGCTCCCGGCTGGCCGCCCGCACCCCTGCCGCCCGCCGCCGCCGTTCCGCTGGCGCTCGCGGTCACCCAGGAACATGGAAGCCCCGGGTGCCCAGCGGGAAGGGTAAATCGGTGTCGGGGCGTGGGGCTGCGCGTGCCGCTTCCCCTGCCCGGGCTGCGGCGCGTGGAGGGGCTGCGGGGCACTGGGCGGCGCAGCCTGCAGCGCGGCAGGCTCCGGCTGAGACCCAGCCGGGCGACGGGGGCTGGCGCCCTGCGGAGGGAGAGGGCACGGAACAGGCTCGGGACCCTTGGGCTGCGCACGGCGCGGGCGGAGGGCGCAGCGAGGCGATTGCGGGTGATGGGAAATGCAGCTGACGGCAGAACCGGGTCCGGTGAATAGCGCCGGTTGGTAGGACCCGAACCACTTGGGACGCCGGCCTGCATCCCCCTCTTCGGTTCCGATTCAAAACCGCTTTGCGGCGGAGCAGGGCTTTTCCGCTTCCCCGGGGCTGTGCGCTGCGGCGGAGCCCCGGCGCTTAGGAGGAATCGGAGATCTGGGGCAGCACCCTCCTCCCCACCCCCAGAGTTCGGGCTCCGGGGTTTTTGTTGGGGTGGGGGGTGGAGGAGATGGACCCCGCAAGGGCGAGAGAGCCGGGCTGCGCTCGGGCCCGCGGCGGCCCGGCAGGAAGGGGTTAAGGCGGCGCTCGCCCGCGGCTGCCAGCTGCTGGTGGGTCCGGTCCGCCGGCGCGGAACCGAGCGCGGAGCGCGCCTGGTGGAATCCCGGCCGGGGTCGGGGCGATGGGGAGAGGGCCCGGACCCCTCCCCGCCCTGCGGCCGGCGGAATTGGGCCGGCAGGGGGCCAGCCCGGAAGCCGGCTTCCTCCAGGCTCCCCCTCTCGCGGCTGCGGAGCCGCCTGCAGCCAGGGTGGCCGAGCGTTCGTTCTGCGCTCCCTGCGGAGGAGATGTGAGGGCTTTTCTCTTGGGGGAGAAATCGGTGGTCGAGCGCCTGCCCAAATCACATGCCACCCTGCTCAGAGGGAAGCCTCCACCCCAGGGATCCCCGGAGGAGAGTAAGTCTTGGGACCAAGCCAGCCAGCTTTTGTAGAGTCGACCTTTCCATGTGAGGAGTCTCCCTAGAAGGGCTCCGGAGTGTGCGTCTGGGAGGTTGCCGGGGAGGGGGTCTTCCTCCTCCGGGACCCTGCCGGGGTCAGAGCTTCCAGTCCGCTGTGGTGCAGGAAGCCCTCCCTCTTGGGAGTTGCCGCATCCTGACCTGGGGGCCGGAGGGCTTTGCCCAGCGTCCCTCCTGAGGGCTGCTGGGGACCAAGGGAGATCTGGCTCAGCCCTGGGAGGCCCCTGGAGGAGACAGGCCCAGCCCAGCCTGAAGGCTTCTTGCCTGGGAGAAAAGGCTGCCAGCTGATGGAAGCCTGCCCAGAGGAGGCGAGGAGGCTGAGGGGTAGTTCTCAGGTGTGACACCAGCATGGAAGGTGGGCATGGAAGGAAAGCCACCAGAGCCCTCCTAAATCTTGGCACCTGCCCCCTGAAAGCCCTGGTTCCACCTTGCTGCTGTTTTTTCCAGGCAACGTCACACCTCCTGAGGACAGCCAGGAGGACTCTGGCTTCTGCTGAGCTTTGCATCTTGCCTTCTTCCTTCCAAAGGCTCCAGACCCAAGCTCCACATCCTCGAATCCCGCGTGCCCCTGGCCAGACGCTCCACGGCCCCTCCGGGCCAGCCCAGTTTTGGAGCTCACCTCCAGAACCTGGAGCCCGACCTCCTGCCCAGAATGACTCACCATTATTTCTCGCTCAAGTGAGAAGACGTGATGGACAGCCAGGCTGCCGATTTGTGTATCTAGGATTCCCACGGTATCTGATCAGCTCTTCGAGGAAGAGAGCTTCCGGTTCCTGCCTTGCCAGGTAAATCAATCTGTTTTTAATAACAGCCATGTGTAGAGTCACCGGAGTAGGGGCAGTGAGGGAGACCCAAGCCCAAGATCCACCCCTGTGAATAACTCCCTGGGGACAGGTATTCGGAGACATTCCTCCAAGCCAGGAGAGGACTCGCTTTCATCCTCTAGTATGGGGGTTGTGCTCCTTGAAGCCTGTGCCCTGCAGAGGGGGCCTGTACCAGCCCCCTTCCCCCAGGGCAGGGCCATCTGGAACTTTCTAGAGAGACTGGCATCTGCTTGCCTCTGATCCCCAGCCAGGTTTAAGGTGAAAGTAAGTTTTTTTGTTTTGGTTTGGTTTGATTTGGTTTGGTTTGGTTTGGTTTTGGTGGTGGTGGTGGTGGTGGTGGTGGTGATATTTCTGAGCTCTTGGCTCAAAGATAGGAGACAAGGAGCAGCAACGCAGGTCAGGCTGCCGGTGGGGAGGGGTCTCATGCCCTTAACTGCCTCTGTCTTTCAGCCAAGGGAGGCTGTCTCTCTGGTCCTCAGAGAGCCCTCGGGGCTCTCCTGCAGGAATCCAGGCCAATGCTTCTGTGTTTCCTGGGGCCGTAAGCAGCACCCTGAGTTCCCTGCTGCCTGGCAGCTGGAAGCCATAGTGTGAGGCCCTTCTCTCAGCCCCCATTATGACAGTGGCCACCGGAGAGCCAGTGGACGAGGCCGCCGCCCTCCCCGGGCACCCGCAGGACACATACGACCCCGAGGCCGACCACGAGTGCTGTGAGAGGGTGGTCATCAACATCTCAGGGCTGCGCTTTGAGACCCAGCTCAAGACCTTAGCCCAGTTTCCAGAGACCCTCTTAGGGGACCCAAAGAAGCGGATGAGGTACTTTGACCCCCTCCGAAATGAGTACTTTTTCGATCGGAACCGGCCCAGCTTTGATGCCATTTTGTACTATTACCAGTCGGGTGGCCGCTTGAGACGGCCTGTGAACGTACCCTTGGACATCTTCTCTGAAGAAATTCGGTTTTATGAGCTGGGAGAAGAAGCGATGGAGATGTTTCGGGAAGACGAAGGCTACATCAAGGAGGAAGAGCGTCCTCTGCCCGAAAATGAGTTTCAGAGGCAGGTGTGGCTTCTCTTTGAGTACCCAGAGAGCTCGGGGCCTGCTAGGATTATAGCTATCGTATCCGTCATGGTCATCCTGATCTCCATCGTCAGCTTCTGCCTGGAGACCCTGCCCATCTTCCGGGATGAGAACGAGGACATGCATGGGAGCGGGATGACCTTCCACACTTACTCCAACAGCACCATCGGATACCAGCAGTCGACCTCCTTCACTGACCCTTTCTTCATTGTCGAGACTCTTTGCATCATCTGGTTCTCGTTCGAATTCTTGGTGCGGTTCTTTGCCTGCCCCAGCAAAGCCGGCTTCTTCACCAACATCATGAACATCATTGACATTGTGGCCATCATCCCCTACTTCATCACCCTGGGGACGGAGCTGGCCGAGAAGCCAGAGGACGCCCAGCAAGGCCAGCAGGCCATGTCGCTGGCCATCCTCCGTGTCATCCGGTTGGTAAGAGTCTTTAGGATTTTCAAGTTGTCTCGACACTCCAAAGGTCTCCAGATTCTAGGGCAGACCCTCAAAGCCAGCATGAGAGAATTGGGCCTCCTGATATTTTTCCTCTTCATCGGGGTCATCCTTTTCTCTAGTGCTGTCTATTTTGCAGAGGCCGATGAGCGAGAGTCCCAGTTCCCCAGCATCCCGGATGCCTTCTGGTGGGCAGTCGTCTCCATGACAACTGTAGGCTATGGAGACATGGTTCCAACCACCATTGGGGGAAAGATCGTGGGGTCCCTCTGTGCAATTGCAGGTGTGTTAACCATTGCCTTACCGGTCCCCGTCATAGTGTCCAACTTCAACTACTTCTACCACCGGGAGACAGAGGGAGAGGAGCAGGCTCAGTACCTGCAAGTGACAAGCTGCCCAAAGATCCCGTCCTCCCCTGACCTGAAGAAAAGTAGAAGTGCCTCTACCATTAGTAAGTCTGATTACATGGAGATCCAGGAGGGGGTCAACAACAGTAACGAGGACTTTAGAGAGGAAAACTTGAAAACGGCCAACTGCACTTTGGCTAATACAAACTATGTGAATATTACCAAAATGTTAACTGATGTCTGATCGAAACCTATTAACACACCCGCAGCTCCATGGAACTCCCGCAGATACAGCATAAATAGCCTGCGTTGTAGTCAGCGTGTTCTACAGTGTACATCTGCTTCTGCATGGGAAGCAGTAGTCGTGCAAGTGACTTTCGATCTTTTGATTTTTTATTTAGAACACAGAATATCTATCCCTGGCTTTCATGCAAATAAATCTTCATCACTGGCCTAGGGGTTTCCAAACAGGGGAGTCCCCTATGGAGCCAGAATTTCAGAAAGACACACTGGGGCCACCTCCTAGTGGACACATAACCCGCCCCATCGGTGCCACCTTCCTTTCTGAATTAAATGCGCACACCCTCCCCTCCTCCCTGGGAGATGCACCACACCCTCCCCAGCCTCTGGGGCCCCGAACCCCCTGGGCCCATAGGAGCCCCACCTCCCGCTTCACAGAGGAAAACCTTGGTGGCTTAGCTTGAAAGCATGGGGAATTATTCAAAAGGTCATTTCCCATTTTTGCATTGAGAAGAACACGCAGGCCTGCCGTATCGGAATTAGACTCTCTGTGTCACGGGCTGGGGTTTGTGAATTACACTTGCCAAGTAGATGCTCCGGAGGCTTGTGTTTCGTAACGGAAAATGCTGCATTTGGTTTTTCTCTGCAGTGTGGCTGTGAGGGAACCCCAGGGGGAGGGACAGTCGGGATGACCGAACATGAGTGGTCGAGTTGCACCCTGGCTCTCAGGCCGCTGGGGAGAAGCTAACCAACCCAGGGACCTCTCGGCTTCCGATCTCTCCATTTTCGCAGGCTTCAGGGTCACAAAACGTCTGACTCCCGCGTTCCGCTGGAGTTTGCAGACATCTGCTTTCCTCGCGCCGTGCCCGCGGTGCTGACCCCCGCAGTGCGATTACCAGTAATGAGCTAGAGCTGCATGGGTGTTTGTTGCATGAATCTCGATATTTAAACCACAGGAGATAACCTATTTTCTTAGTAGCCTACACAGTATTCATATGTAGAGTATTAAGAGCCCCGGAGTGGCATTGAGCTAGGGGGTGTTTTGGTTGGTTTTGGTTTTCTCCCCACCCCCTCCCTGCCCCAATCAGAAGACGAAAAGCCCTCAGTCAGGAGAATAAAAAAGAGACTGTTTGGCATGGGGAACCCCAACTTCCGGCTCCCCAGCCCACCCCATCCCTGTTCTTCCACCTGGGGGCACAGACCTTTGCAAAGCCCAGAAGGGGGAGCAGGGGAAGCCGCGCTCGGACACCTCACATCACCGCACCTTATGACTGAACCTAGTTATGGGGATGACTCTCTAGCTGACCCAGGCATCTGGGCCTGAGGACAGGCGGATTTGAGGATCCAGTGTATATAAGCATATATTGAATATCTCTCACGAGTTCCTCTATCTAGCTCGCTATAGAAGAAATTGCATTTGAACCTTGTATAAGCTTATGCAATATTTCTGACACAGGGCAACTTACGCATGTGTTTGACTATGTGCACTAGCGTATGTATGTATATGTACTACATGCATACATACATGTGTGTATATTATATACATGCATACATACCTGTGTGTATGTGTTATATACATGCATACATATGCGTGTGTGTGTATGTGCACACATGCACACACTTATATATGTATATACATATATACATATATATATATATATATATTCATTCTCTGGAGTTCAGGTTCAGGAGCAAATCCACTGCTTGGTGGGTTGGTTGTCTGAGAGGCCTAATGGGTTAACTTATCTCATCAATAAACCCACTGGGACTGGGTTTGCTGCCATCGCCTCAGACACTCCAGTCTTCACGGATTCCTAGATGTTAGAATTGTCTTTCTGCCCTCCACGTGCTGCAGCTTCAGTTCCCCGTGGCTGAAGCTTGTCTCACCCAGTGCACAAGGGCCTGTGGCCCTCACGGCTCCCGCTGCCCTGGGCCACACTCGCCCCAGGCTTCTCTCTACAGCCCATCTTGTTAATCATCTCCTTTCTCATCTTCACCTGCCCTCTTCGGGTTTTCTTGGGTTTTTCTTGTCGTCTGGCTCTGCATCAGTCACTTTAACAGCCCTTTCCCTAAAGAGCCAGAATGGATCTCCTGCTTGGAACCAGGGACCCAGTGCCGCAGGTCTAGGCTTGAAGGGGGCTTCCTCGGGGTGGAAGCCTCGGAAGTCCCGGGCGAAGGGATGGAGACGCTAGGTGACCTACACGCATCATTTCCATGGCCAGGCTCAAACGCTCTCCCCTTGGCACTGGCCAAGAGAGCTGCTTAAAGAAACCCAAGGCTGGACAGAAAAATCATTCCCTGCCCTGGGACAGACTGAAAGGGAATGAGTGCTGTGTGGCCTGTGGGTGGAGTTCAGGCTGGCCCTGGAATGGGTTGAGGTGGAGACGCTGTTGCCTCCCAGACTGGGCTTCTGTTTCCCAAACACAGTGAGTTGTGTGCTTAGGCCGCCCAGCCTCGGCTCCAGCCCGAGCCTTACCATTGGCTGTTTAGCACCTACAGTTACCTTGGGGGGTGGGGCACCAGCTCAGGGTGCTAGGCCCAGGGTGCTCATTAGTTCCTGGTCACCCACATCCCCAGGGATCTGCAGGACACCCCATGCCCAGTGCGAAGCCTCTGAGCTTCTCTTCCTCTCCTTCGCGGGAGGTGGTGCTGAATTTCCAAGACATGGGGTGGGAAGGGCACAGACCTTGGGCAACAGATGGTAAAACAACCCATACACAAGGCCTGGGTC